TTGGTGGCTCAGCCTGTAATCCCGCTCCTTGGGAGGCTGAGGTGAGTGAATTGCCTGAGCTCGTGGGTTCGAGACCCGCCCAGGAAATTTGACAAGACCTCATCTCTACAATAAATCAAAAATTAGCCAGGCATGGTAGCGCGAGCCTGTAGTTCCAGCTACTTGGAAGGATTGCCGGAGCCCAGCAGGTTGAGGCTGCAGTGGCCGGGAGTGGCCACTGCATTCCAGTCTGGGTGACAGAGTGAGACTCCAACTCAAAAAAAAAAAAAAAAGAGACTGAGAATGAGCAAACTCTCATAAATTCAATCTGGTTGTTTTCTAAATTTCATAAACTGTATACTTAGAAAACTGTGCTTTCAGCAAGCTAAACTCCTTTTTTTTTTTTGAGTTGTAGTCTCACTCTGTTGCCCAGGCTGGAGTACAGTGTCACGCTCACGGCCACCACAGCCTTGGCCTGCTGGGCTCAGGCGCTCCTTCCTCCTTAGCTTTCCAAGTAGCTGGAGCTATAGGCATGCACCACCACACCCAGCTAATTTTTTTGTTTGTTTATTGTAGAGATGAGGTCTCGCCGAGTTGCCCAGACTAGTCTCGAATGTGTGGGCTCAGATAATCCTCTTTTTTGAGTTGTAGTCTCACTCTGTTACCCAGACTGGAGTACGGCCACCGCAGCCTTGACCTGCTGGGCTCAAATGATCCTTCTGCCTCAGCCTTCCAAATAGCTGGAACTACAGGCACACACTACCATGCCTGTCTAATTTTTTGATTTATTGTAGTGATGAGGTCTCATCAAGTTGCCCAGGTTGTTCTCTAACTCGTGGGCTCAGGCAGTCCTCTCACCTCGGCCTCCCAAAGTTCTGGGATTACAGGCTTAAGCCACCACACCAGGCCAGGAAAAAAAATTTTAGAGAAAAAAATGTTTGCTAAGCTTGTCTAAAAGCCTAATGCAAATTCTCGACTAGGAGTACATAGAGATAGAAGGATACAAGAAGAATCCTAGAACTTTAAAGCAGGAGTAAACCTTGAAGGGCATAAAGTCCAACAGAGATGAGGAACAGACCCAGGAAGATGACCTGGCTTCCCACAGTTAGTTAGTATAGATATTTCAGTCATAACCCACCTCTCCTGATTCATAGTCAAATATTCATGATTTAGGCTAGAGTAATTCATAAAAATTCAGACAGACTGAATGGTAGCACATCCCATATTTCATTTAGAAACGTTGTTGTTAACCACATAAGAGGAAGGGGGAGAAAGGGAGGAAGGGAACAAGGGAATAAAGGGCCCAAATATCCTGAATGGCTTACCAGTGTAGAGCATTATGGTAAAGAAATCAAATCTTTTTAAAACTCTTTAATACCATTCAGAAACTAAATTCTAACTTCTGCTTAAGATAAACTGAGGTGCATCTGTCCTTTGTCCAGGAGTGGAGAAGCCATTGTAAGGTTGCTCAGAGTAAATCACACTGTCTCCAGTGACCCTGTGGAGTTCAGGGAGGGAGCCTCTGAAGGAAGCAGCTGGTACCAGACACTTGGGCTACCTGTTTGTGTTCTCATTACTTCAGTGACAGGAAAGCTACCTGTCAAGCAAAGTTCTAGACACAATGAATAAAAGGAATTCTTTAAAAAGCTGTGTCCTGGATTGTTAGGATCTTGTCAGTCATGAGCAGTGAAGGCTTTGAAAGGGCATTGACTTGCCACTTACAAGTATTTCTAGCTGGACACAGTGGCTCACACCTGTAATCCCAGCACTTTGGGAGGCAAAGGCAAGAGGATTGCCTGAGCTCACAGGTTTGAGAACAGTCTGGGCAACTTGGAGAGACCTCGTCTCTGCAATAAATCACAAAAACTAGCCGGGCATGGTGGCGTGTGTCTGTAGTTCCAACTACTTGGAAGGCTGAGGTGGAGGGATCACCTGAGCTGAGCAGGTCAAGGCTGCAGTAGCCATGAGTGTGCCACTGCACTCCAGTCTGGGCAACAGAGTAAGACTCTCACTCAAAAAAAAAAATTAGCCAGGCATGGTGGCGCACACTTGTAGTTCCAGCTAAACCCAGCAGGTCGAGGTTGCCATGACTGTGAGAGCATGCCACTGCACTCCAGCCTGGGTGACAGTGAGACTCCAACCCCCTCAAAAAAAAAAAATTAGCCGGGCATGGTGGCACATGCCTGTAGTTCCAGCTAAACCCAGCAGGTTGACGCTGCAGTGACTATGAGCGTGCCACTGCACTCCAGCCTGGGCAACAGAGTGAGACTCCGAGTCCAAAAAAAAAAGTATTTCTAATGTACTTTGTACTTCCTTCTGGCATTCTCCTGAATTTATACTATATCTTTTCCTCCAGTAAAGAGAAAAATCTCAAGGCAGAACCCTGAGTTTATTCTCTCAGGGCTCTGTTGGGACTACCCTATCTGAAGTGACTTATTCTTCATATGAAATTAATTTTTCTCTTCAAGTTTACACATAAGTATAAGGTTCTCACTTTTTAAAACTGTCCTAAGGTACTATAAAATATACCACATGTGTTCTCCTCTGAAAGCTTCATTCTAAAGCAAGAAGGATGTATTATATAGGCGCCTGAATTCTGGTCTATCACAGTAAGTCTTATCTTTACTTGCTAAAAATAACAATTATTGGGACAATTGGGTGCAAAGCTAAATGGAGTCCAGATCTGATATTTTGCCCATCCTTCATCAGTTCATAATTCACAGAATAAAAGATATTGGAGGAAACCCTTGTGGGGGTGACCAAAACTGTAGGAGCACAGGCCACTGCAATGAAATTAAAATATTCATATGTGAGCATTCTTTCAAGACTGGAACTTATGCAGGTAGAATTCTCAGCAATGGGATCCAGGCAGCTGCTGGAGCCTCCTGTAGCCCTCAAGAAAGGAGTAGGGTTGCTGGATAAAATGCAGGAATATCAGTTAAATTTTAATTTCAGATAAATAGCAAATAGTGTATCTTGAGTATTACAGAAACAAACTTTACTAAAAATTCATTGTCTATCTGAAGTTCACACCTATCTGGGTCTCCTGTATTTCTTATTTGCTAAGTCTGGCAATACAAGGTGGGAATTACAAAGGAAGATGAAGGGTAGTGGAAAATGAGTCATCTGTATAGCCCAGCAGCCCTACAGGAGGCAGGAGGGGAGCAAGAATAAGAAAGGAAGTTAGCAAAAGGCACTTGGGAGGGCACAGAAAGAAGACCAGCTTTTCCTTGCCCTGTCCCAGCCAATGGCAGGCAGTCTGTGTGAGTCTATACTGTATAAACAAAGAGAGTTCCACTCAGATCTACACAGAGGAAGCCATAGAATAGTGGGATGCAAGAAAATAACGAGACAGGAACACAGATGAGTAAATGTAAAATAGGAGTAATAATCTTTAATATTCTTTCATCGTCTCCATTTTATGCTGTTTTATGATTTCCTGAAGCTGTCTCTATTCAAGTTTTTCTCTGTTGACAATATTTGATCTGACGATTGCTTCTAGAAACTCTACTGCATATACAACTTGCTTTCAACTGGGAATGGAAATAAACAAGACGACAATTATCTAGACACTGATGGCGGCTAACAATAGTTTGTTTTGCTACCAGAGTGCCCTGAGAAATACACTCCAATCAAATGGATTGAGTTATTAAGATAATCATGATAATTTGTTATTTTTTTGTTTTGTTTTTTTGAGTTGGAGTCTCACTCTGTCACCCAGACTGGAGTGCAGTGGGTGCACCGCAGCCTCGACCTGCTGGGCTCTGGCGATCCTTCCGCCTCAGCCTTCCAAGTAGCTGGAACTACAGGCATGCGCTACCATGCCCGGCTAATTTTTGATTTATTGTAGAGATGAGGTCTCACCAAGTTGCTCAGGCGGGTTTTGAACCTGCGGTCTCAGGCAATCACTCACCTCAGCCTTCCAAATGTGCGGGATTACAGGCTGAGCAACCAAGCCCAGCAATAATTTGTTATAAATAGCAGTAGCATGAAGGTTTCTTGTAACTTCTGACAAGAGATTGTATGTA